GGGGGGGGGGCGGGGGAGGTCGCCAAAATAATTTTTCCGGAAAAAATTTTTTGGTACTAGTCGGGCAATTTTTGAAAAGTCGGGCAATTTTCTTTCCGCCCCCCTAATTTTTTCCTTCCGGTACGCCCATGCGTTTTGCGAAGCGTTTGTGGTTGAATTTTACCTTAAATTCAAGCTTATATTACGTATAATAACATACCTAACATATATATGTTTAGCAAATTGATAGTTTTGTAATTAAAAGTGATATTTATAGTGGATTTTTCATTTGTAAAACATTCTTAAAAAATTATCGTGTTACCATGACAACTACTAAAAAAATACTTCACGTTCGGAAAATAAAATGGTTTTGTCAGCAAGGCGAGGGTTTCTGCATGCATGTATTTTCTAGTTTTACAGATAAATTTCACGACAACAACCGTTTCTAATCGATCTAAAACCCTAAAAATCCCTTAAAAAACTCTGTGTCAAGATGGCGACTGGACGACACGCTGCTAAGCCCACTGCGCACAAATTAAATAATTCAAGTACCAGTTCGCCCAGTAAAGCGACTAAAGCAAAAGATTTGAAACATAATGATGATAAGAACAAGGAGGACGAAATAGAAACCGAAGAACAAGTAGAGTTGAAGGACATTATGGTTATGATGAAAAATATGATGAGAAAGCTAGAGAAGTTGGATCTTATTGAAACTAAAGTGAAGTCAGTCGAGCAAGAGCTGAGAAGTATGAAAGATTCAATAGAATTTGCGCATTCAGAAGTTAAAGATTTGAAAAGCGACAACGAAGAACGCAAAAAAACCGGACGAGCTAACGAGACAACAAATAGAAAAATTGGAGAAAGGAAATGAAATCTTACACAAGAGCGTCATTGATCTTAAATCAAGGTCAATGCGCGATAACTTAGTGTTTTATAACATAGACGAAAACAAGGATGAGAACACTACAGATATAATTCATCAAATTATGGAACATAAATTGGGCATGGAGAATGCAGCAAGGGAAGGGAAGATCGATAGATCCTACAGACTGGGAAAACAGAGATTTGGAGCAACGAAGCCGCGAACGAGTTCTACAAAACGCAAGAAAACTGAAAGGAACAAAAATAGGAATTGGTGAACAGTTTCCTGATGAGATTCTGAAAATACGCAAGGAGTTATATCCAGAACTAAAGAAGGCAA